CCCAAACCACCGGATAACCCCCTCGCAGGCCAGTGGGGGGAGGGAGACCTGGGAGTTAGAAATCAACACATCTCAAAGTTGCTAAGGTTGAGAAACACTGACCTAAGCATAAACGTCCTGGGAAGAAAGCTGACTTACCGTGTGCAGCTCTCTCTTGAAAACAATGAGGGTGATGAAGCCAACTATGATGAAAATGGGACTGAGACTCAGGTAGGCGAGGAGGCGGCCAGTGAAGTCACCTGGGCAGGAGACAGAGAGATCAAGGTGTGCCCAAAAGAACTTGTGTCCCGATGGAAGGGCTGTTTAGCAACCAAGCTTTCACAAGACCCGCGGAATTCCCTGGCGCCAGGTTGATGTCTTCCATAAGGGCCACGTTTTCGGCTGGGAACAGGATGAAAGTCACAGAGTGGTGGCTCTGCCTGCTCCTTGATTTCCATGGGGCATTTTATTTAGGGCCAGAGGACGGTTTAGCTTGGGAGAAGAATGAGAAACTGAACCAATCCAACGTCCAGTTCATTCGATTATGCCACCTCACTGACTTACACCTTTTGCTTTAAACCTGCAGGAACATTCAGTCCCGTTTCTGATAGGGGCCTTGTTGCAAATATTTTTCTTAACGTAATGAATGGGCCTGTAGGCTTCCCTTCTGAGCGATATACTGTATTGTGTAAGAAAATGGGAAAAGGGGGATCAGCATGACATGCGCTCCATCAGGTACAGACCTCGAAATTTGGATTCAACTGGTCGAAGTGAGTGACACGCTCACAAACTCTGTTTTGAGGAAAAGCAGTAGAGAGGCAAGGATTTGGGATTCATATCCCCCCACCCCAAAATGGGCTCCAACCTCTCCTTAATCTTGAAAGTCACGCAGTATCACTTTCATTCTCCTAGCCTAAACCATGACATGTAGCTGATGCGCAGATAAACATGCAATAATAAATTTCCTTCCTTCCTTGGGGAGGATTTAAAAATAGACAACGAGCAGCTTCCCCCAAAACCAGACAAAAAAGTGAGGTTTACCGCAGTAGCTTTGCCTAATATGAAATGAAGCGTGTCAATGAATGGAAACCAAGCCACATTCTTCTCCCAGACACCGCCGCTATTTCCTCTCTGAATGTCAGCTTCCGATGTGAGACCTGGCAAAAAGGTTCTTACCCTCAGCCGTAAGGAGGCCAGCCTGGTGTTGGTACATGGTTCACGTGTCAGGTAGGTTCTGGTTCCCTTAACCATGGTTGGTGGAATAAGGCATAACTGGCTGGGTTCACACAGCCCCACGATGCTGAAAACCCAGGTTTACAGCTCATAACTGACGGATTGGCACCCCAGCTCCATTGTTGGTGGAATAAGCCACAACTGGCTGGGTTCACACAGCCCCACGATGCTATAAACCCCGGTTTATGGCTCATAATTGATGGGTTGGCACCCCAGCTCCATGGTTGGTGGAATAAGCCACAACTGGCTAGGTTCACACAGCCCCACAATGCCGTAAACCCAGGTTTACAGCTCGTAATTGACGGGTTGGCACTCCAGCTCCATGGTTGGTGGAATAAGCCACAACTGGCTGGGTTCACACAGCCCCACGATGCTATAAACCCCGGTTTATGGCTCATAATTGACGGGTTGGCACCCCAGCTCCATGGTTGGTGGAATAAGCCACAACTGGCTAGGTTCACACAGCCCCACAATGCCGTAAACCCAGGTTTACAGCTCATAATTGACGGGTTGGCACTCCAGCTCCATGGCTGGTGGAATTAGCCACAACTGGCTGGGTTCACATAACCCCACAATGCCATAAACCCAGGTTTACAGCTCGTAATTGACGGGTTGGCATAATGTGCTGCACCCCAGCTAAGTACATCATGCAGTTGCTTGGCTCGACACAAAAATCCAAGCCAGAGGGGGCCAGCTAGTGACTGCTTCTTAGCATCTGCTCCACCATCATCCCCGCTGATTAAAATCAGAAACGCTAGCAGAAGATGGAGCAAGGAAAGAAGCTAAAAAAACAGAAGATAAAAACAGGCCGTGCTATGATCTTTCATGGATACACACCTAGGAGCAAATTCTGCTGATTCTGCTTCTCAGCAGAGATCCTATCTCGCATGTGAATTGCATCAGGACAGCAGAGGAATAGTTTAAAAAAAAAAAAAGTCCCTCCATGAAATTTCTAAAAACCCTGCAATTATAAACACCACCACAGCACAGATAAAAGTGGCTGGCTGGGGAATTCTGGGAGTTGAAGTCTACACATCTTAAAGTGGCCTAGGTTGAGAAACACTGGTCTAAATTTTAGTACAGAGAGTCAGTGGAACTGGCTGGGGAATTCTGCATGGCTGGCTGGGGAATTCTGGGAGTTGAAGTCTACACATCTTAAAGTGGCCTAGGTTGAGAAACACTGGTCTAAATTTTAGTACAGAGAGTCAGTGGAACTGGCTGGGGAATTCTGCATGGCTGGCTGGGGAATTCTGGGAGTTGAAGTCCATTCATCTTAAAGTTGCTAAGGTTGAGAAACACTGGTTTAAACTATGGATTGCAGCTTATTACAGATGCAAGCCCAGCCAACTGGACTTCAGCAAAACATGGTCACACAAAGCACACCTTGGTAGAATGTATGAAGCCAATGAAACTTCTTTGGCAGAACTTCCTGGTGAACTACAGCCCACATCGGTTTAATTCTAGAAAGTTAATTTTGACCCAGCAGCTCATCTCACATCCAAGGAGTAAAGAATTCCCCCCACAGCAGCTTCCCTTAAGTTGGCAGCTGGATTATCAGCCGCTGCAGGGAGTCGTAGCAGCAAACCACAGCAATGGGAACGTGGAATTTCCAGCTGGATGTTTGTTTGCTCGACGCCGAATTTATTAAGTGCTCCTGAACAACAACCGGTCATCGATCTGGCAAAAGCACCCAAAACAGCTTTCAAGCTTGCGCGAGCCAGATGCACGGGAGCAGAAGAAGGTGCACTTGTCGGTTTTAACCATCCACCCAAAACTGCCTGCCAACATCTGGCCTGTATAACAACTGTTTCCAACGACGGTCTTGTGAAGCATTCTGCTAAAGCACACAGAAGAGTACCTTACACCGATGTGCAAATTTAGCCAGAAGCCGCTACACGTCTGTACTGTCGAGCTATGAAACACACGCTAAGCGCAGACAGTCTGAATTTCCCATTCAACATGCTGAAAACTAAACCCAGAGCTGCAAAAACAAACTTGCACAGCAAAAATCACACGTTGGCAATAAGCAGAGGTTCACTACACTTTACACCACGGCTTGCAAACCACAACGCCATTCAATATTCTGCCTTAGCATTATGTCCTCTGTAAGGCATCCTGCTTCATTCCCCAGCGAGAAGCAGAAAAGAAAAGGACTCCAGATGAACATAATCGCTATTTTTCAATTATTTAGTTTTACAATTGGGGGGAATGAATGCACGGTTTTTTTGCATGGGGAGTTTACAGCATTATTTGTGGCGAAATAAGTGAAACAGATGATTAATTGATCTGATATTGATTTGTATAGCCACCGAGCTTCTGAACCCATGATCCTGCAAAACGATATACCCAAACTCAGGGGTCAGTTAACAGAGTTGATAAGGAGCAAATTATGAACAGCGTCCTTTCTACAATGTCAAATTAAACTCACACCAGGCACAACCGCAACCACTGTCCTGCTTGTAGAGCCACAACGGCAATGGACCCAAGAGGTACAAAGTGCTACGGTGCTGCAGAAGAGTTGAGTTCAGCTAACCCACAGCTCCACCATCAGCTGCGGTCTGCGGCTGGTTCTGAACAATACACTAAGCAAGCTTTACTTTGAGGCAAGGACCCAGCCCACACTGGGAGGGGGCAACGTTGGGCGGGGACCGTCTGGAAACATCTAGTTGCCAACCATGCATAGACAGGATTTGATGGAGGGCCTTAATTTACAACTGTATTTATGTGCACACTGCCTGTCATACCCAGCCTTTCCCAGCGTCACGCACAACAGGCGAAAATCAGACAAAATTCTTCATCAGTTTTTGCAGAGGTATTGGTGGGAATAGATGGGAAGAACATCTGTACAGGTATTGTGGTCCCAAGCCATAATACCAAGTTAATACCAGCACTTTGAATTGGGACCAGAAACCAACTGCATAGCAAAGAGGTGCATATAAGATGGGTGTAATATGTTCCTAATGTCCAGTTCCAGTCATTACTCTTCCTACAACATTCTGGACCATTTTCAAGGGCTGATTTGGTCAGCTGGGTTCACGCATCCTGTTCAATTACAATGCAGCTGTGGCTGATGGATGCTGTTATCCACTGATTGGAAGGGGGCTGGTTTGAAGAAGAGTTCTCATGAGTTTGACTCTGGGCCAGCTTCAGAGATTGGCTGCTAGTCTCCAAGGTTTCAGAAAAGAGTTTTTTCTGCTAAACCCTATTTAGAAATGCTGGAGAACGAACTTAAGATCTTATGCACGCCATGGTCTCTGACAAGCGATGGTGCTCAAAAGAACCTGGTGTGGCTTTGCAGTTTCCTTTATCATTCAATATTCCTGCAAACAAATGTGGTTTTGTTTAAGCTATGTAAGACAGGGTCTGTTGAAGGGCTTGGTCAGCTCTCAGAAACTCCATCTCTACCACTGACTTCTCAGCTCAAAACCAGGAGGCCTTACATTACTCGAGACAAACACACACGCGAAGCAGTTTGCAGGCATTAAGCAACCCAGCATAATTCAGGAAACATGAGAGGAGGCAGCTAACTATCAGAGGAGATAAATAATACATGTGCTTCTTTTTTATTGCTACAATGCGCCCAACTCCCACAGTGCTTAGTGCCTAGAAAGGAAAAAAGCAAAGGATGCCAAAGGATAGTTCTGCTCGGAAATACCACGCCCTGTTACAAAAAACCCTGTGCTCTGTTCCCCAAGGCAAGGGGTTGCTTTCGGTAGCTGACTGAGGAAAATGCACTCTGCAGTGCCTCAGAGACTACTTTTGGGGCTGTAGCCCCCACTGTGGGGGTTAGGCGCATTGTAAAAACAGAACTGAGTTCCGCCACAATTATGCCTCAGATTATTAAAATGTTTGGAACTCAAATAAATAGAGGAAGGTGTTGGAAAGGTTGACTGCTCTTGCTGCAAAGGAATTACTCCTCCCGTCAGGGTCCTCATTTCTTCACCAAACCAAACCCATCGATGCCTTTCTTGCTGATCCACGGGAAGAATGGGTCTGCAAACCGTTTTATGATTCGCTTAGTCCTGATCAACCCACACTGGCACCAAGAACAAATCCATTTTCAAGTCATTCTGTTTCCATCGATCTCTGGTTCTCTTATGTACCATCCTGCTGACCTCTCCAAAAGTGCTAATATCTCAAGGGAGGGGAGAAGATTTTTTTTTTTTAATTTACTTGAGGGAACAGTGGTTTGGGAACGAAATTTGAGTTATACAAATTAGGTTGCGAGAGATAAGATCCCCCACCTACCACTCCTTCTGCTGCTTTTCTCAAAATCTAACCTCCTCTCAAAGTTTAAAAAATAGAAGGCTGGCCTTGTCATAACTCCCCTGATTTCAGACTTTGCTCTGTGAGGGGGCAAACAGGTTACTGATAAGATAAAACAGGATGAGGATAACAGAAACAAATGTGACTCCAACAGTGCAACACTAAATACGGCTTTACGAAGACATTAAAACAATCAGGAATTCCAAAAGAAAGAGATGACACATTGCTTTATAACGGGCACAATCTGAGGAATGTGGGTGCCAATCCAATATAGGTAAGATGTGCCAAGTTGGGCAAGAGTTTAGATTAGGAGTCTTCAAATTCCCATTCATTCATGAATGGTGACGCAGAGCAAGCCACTGACTTACGCTGATAGGACAGGTTTATCAATGCTTAATTGAACCTTGGTTTAGTCAGTTAACTCAACTGCTTTGATTCACATGACAAACTATTAACTCCAAGGTTGGGTCTTGGTCCATGTAAGCTAAAACCAGGTCGGCTAGCTTGCGGTTCAGGGCGCTGTGTTAACTCCACCATTCTCTTGAGCTAAATTATCGGACGGCTCTTGAAAGAGAAGGATCCAAGTGGATTTAGAGCTGTGTGTCCCACCTGCATTTTAGCAGGCTTCAATAAATACACAACAAAAGCAAGGTGGTTTTCAAGCTTTGCCAGTTTGGCCACTTCATCCACTCGGGTAAAAGTGGGTTGAGCTGTTTGGCGTGCTGTGGACACTTTCTTAGCACATTGTGTGAATCAGGCTGGATGTAAATTACTATTTGAGCCAAGTCGCCGTGTTTTACGAAAGCAGCTTTAGGGCTGCCAAAGAAAACAGCTCATCTTCATTAACACCAATGCCAGTGGGAGGCTCGTGGTCAAGATGCCTGGCCAGGACTGCGAAGCCCCAGGTGCAAATCCGTCCTCAGCCTTGGCCCCTCACCGGCAACTGGGGGGGAGTCCCGCTCTCTGCCCCAACTTGCTTCACAGGGTTGGTATGGGGAAAACTGGAGGAAGGTTAATGGGGAACACCACTCTGAGCTCCCAGAGGAAAGGGGAGACGTTGCCCCACCAATAAGCAAGCTTGAAAACTTGCAAAGCTGTTGCCAGAGTAAAGGGGGGGGGGGGCTCAACCGTGGTAAACCCTGACCCTGCGTTGGCTGGGGCATAAGGAACGTGGCCCCTGCACTGTCCAGCATCGCAAGCTGCAACTTGTGCAAAACTGGGGTCTCTGATGCAACCAAGTGGTTTTTGCTTAAGGGGCCAAGCCATGGCTTAACTAACCTAACCGGGACAGCCGAGGGATAAGACGGGAGGACGGCCTGCAAAAGACCCGGGGAGCAGTTGCCACGGGGGAGGGGGGCGGAGGAAGAAAGACACCCCCGCCCCAATTTCCAGGCTGTGTACTAGCAAAAGGCAGAGCCCAGGAGGTACCGCGCATGCGTACTACGGCAGCCAGCGGCCCCCTCTGCTAGCAGCAGCGTCGCCGCCCCAGTACGCATGCGCGCCCGCCCGCCGCTCATCAATGGCTCACTATTTGGCAGCTCCCACCTCACGTCCCTCAGGCCTCCCTGAAGTTAAAGGCCACCCACGAAGAAGAAAGAGCGCTTTTTACCTGCTGGATACTCGACGTGAGTGAGAGACACCGAATTCCACGGAACAGGGATCGAGCACTCTCCGACTGCGGCCATCTTACCCGGATACCGGGCCGGGCGGCCACAGCCAATCGGGCGGCACACACGGGGCGGGGCGGCCAGTGGGCGTTCCTGCGAGGCCCGCTCAGCCAATCGAGAAGCTGGCCAGGTGAGGCCTCAACCAATCCTCAAATACTACCACACCCCCGAGGCCTGCCCGCCCCTTGGAATTCAGCAGCCAATCAGAAACCCCAATCCGTGGCAGGGCCCAGGTAGATGAGGAGGCCAATGGCAGGAAAGGCGGGGGGGGGCGGCCCTCGAGGGGTGGCTAGCCCTGCTCACCAACCGAGGAGTTGCCTAGCTAGTCCGCCCCTCCCTCGCGGGCTCGTCTCCTCCCTCCTCGCGCGCTCCCGCTCGGAGCCAATCAGATCTTCGGGAGTGGATGGCGGGCTGAGGAGCGATTGAATGGGAGCGCGGTGCATTGTGGGGCCAAGCGGAGGCTCTGTTGTGACTCAGGGCTCTCGTGGCCAGAGGATGGCCTGCGCGGCGCTTAGCCATGCCTTATCCCTAGTTTGTTGAATTGGCCGGGCTGAAAGAACCTGCTAAGCCATAAGCCCTCTTTACAAGCCCCAATGCTGGTACTCACACGCCCCTTATGGCGGAGCTTCCCAACTTTGGAGACTTCAAGATGGGTGGACTTCAGCTCCCAGAATTCCCTAGTATGAAATGCTGGCTGGGGAATTCTGGGAGTTGAAGTCCACCCATCTTACAGTGGCTGAGGTTGAGAAATACTGTATAATCCATACCATTTGCAGGACCACATCATGATGAGATAAAGAGGGAATTTGCATAATTTACACCCTGCCTCTTCATGCTTCCAGATGTGCTGGGACTCTAAATCCCATTACAACCAACACACCATAGAAAAGCACCTTCTTTGCTCCTAGAGCGCTCCCATTCCAATTCCTTGCAGCAACGATTAAGAGTGCATTAATTAATACAGAGAACGGGGCTCGCCCCCAGGAGAAAAACAATTCAAATTTCACAGCTTGTTTGCACCACTGGAGCATTTTGCCCCATTTTGGTAGGTGCTAATAAATACCTTACAGAATTGGAGGGTTTTAAACGGTGCCCGCCCCCCCCAATTTAAATTTCCATTGGGTGTTTTATATTTCTGAATAAGGGAAAGACACCCACAATGGAGCTCAACAAGACACAGATTTTTTTTGCATTGTTTTTTTTTCCAGAAATTTATTTTTACTTCCTCTAGTCTACAGCTCCGGCCTGCCATCTAAATACCAACCCAGTTCAACTTTGCTTAGCTTTATAGGAAAAGGCGAGATCCACTAGGAGGGGTTGATCCATATTTATACTCTGCAAATTGGCTGTTTCACTAAGTCATCATAAAGCGTGAACTTTGTGTACTGTTCTGCTTTAATGCAAAGTCTAGTTCCTTTTAATCCTTTTAATCACTTCAGTTTGACCTGATAATTCTAAATCTGAGGCTCGTATTCTTTATGATCCTACTGAAATTTGTCATTGCTTTACTTTCTACGATCTTTCTTCTTCTCCAACCGACCCATCTTCATCTCTTTGAACCCAAGAAAACATCTGCCACACTTTGCTTCTTCTCCATCAGCTGTCGAAAAACATCTGCCATCTGCTGTGAATTTATTAAAAAATCTGTACAGACAGGACACAAACATTGAGACAGTGGGATTTCAGAGCTGGATACGTTTCAGAGCTCTGCATAACCCTGAACAAAACAGGTTAGTGAGTCAGTTAGAGAAACCTCAGTTCTTCTAAAGATCCATTCATGTGTTCACACACCAGAAAGACTTACTAACTTCAAAGGTTTGTAACGGAGAGGAAAACTCATTTTCCATGTTTCTTCTTCCCCTCTCCTGAGCACCATCTGCATGAGATCAATTCCCCAGAGACAATAAATACAATTAACAGGCAAGGCAAGCCAGCATGAAACAGAAGAAAACAAGATGAAGAAACGAAAAGCAAATGGCTTTGGGTGGCTGGCTATCATATTATTGACCCTGACCCCAGTGGAAATTAGAAAAGTAGTTTGTTTGCCAGAAGCATTTAGAGCCATTTTTGTTTTATTTTGCTGAACTGGAGGTCAATAAATCCAGTAAATATACAAATGGAGACACATGAGAAGGTTGTGCAGAAGATCAAAGCAACAGTCCCACCACCACCAGTCTCTGTAGGCCGCCGAAAGAGCAAAATGAAATGGAGAAATTCTGTGCAATGAGGTTTGCTTGGCTGTGTTGCACAAATCCAGCCAGTTGTTCGTTGGATCGACTATGGTTAAACCAAGACTTTACTAAATATCCACTTTCAGTGATGAAGCGTGTGACTCCTCACTTTGTGAGTGTCCTTCTTCCCATAATACTTTGAAGTGAGTCAGACCCAGCTCTCTGGAAAAGGCTCTGATGCTGGGGAAGGTGGAAGGAAAGAGAGGACGAGGACGACCAGCAGCAAGGGGGATGGACTCAATTACAGTGGTGAAGGGGGCACCCTTGGAAGAGCTGAAGAACCAGACTGGGGACAGATCCTCCTGGAGAAAATCTATCTGTGGGGTCGCTAAGAGTCAATACTAACTTGATGGGACATAATCAATCAATGGGAAAAAAGAGAAGAGGCTGACCAGCAGCAAGGTGGGTGGACTCAATTATAGCAGTGATGGTGCATTGTTGGAAGACCTGAAAGACCAGGTTGGGGACAGATCATCATGGAGAAAATTGATCTATGGGGTTGCTAGGAGTCAAAAGTGACTTGATGACACATAATCAATCGATCAATCAATCAATCAGTCGATCAATCAATGTGCTGTAGGAATACCAAAAAGGAGTTATTTGATATATGGCAAAATAAGTGTGTGCTGCCCCTGGTGGCTCCTTTGGGCAATGCAACTCCCCTGAATATTTATTATTACAATGTTCCTATGATGAAGTTGGGGCTGATCTCCAATGATTTCTAAGAAGCCAGCTAGCCCCCAAAAGGAAATAAAAGGCCAGCAAATTTAGATGTTGCCACTGTTGGGTGGGGAGATGAAGGCAGGGTTGGCAAAATCTAGGGCTGCCCCCCCATGGATCCCCTGGAAAATGAAACTGCAAAGAGATCTCTGGCAAAGAATTCTACATGCTTCCCCTGGTGGATTATTTGGGCAACGCAGGTACAGTGGAGAACAGAGATTTGGTGAAGAATAGCAGATGCTGCCCCCAGTGGCCTACGTTGGTACTGCAGCAGCAATTGGAAAGAGGCATAATGGCACAGAATGGGGTATGAGGACCCCAGTGGCAGATGATGATGGCTTACATTCTTCTAATGTAAGTCAGTGCCTTACATTATCTCATTCCATTTGCTAACATACCTATTCAATGAGCTAGTCTAAGTTGTAAATGAAGGTTAAAAGAAGCAAGTTTGGGACTACAGCTTTTA